ATGTTTTTAGGATGTCGATCTTGTTTTTCATGTCAATTTTTCGTGATTATGACTATTCTGGATAAAGAATGTTTTGAGCAGAGGATTCAAGGCCCGCCACCCCCTCCCTTCATTTTTTTTAAGGAAAAAAAAAGAAAAATACATTCAAATTTAAGTGTGAGAGTGTAATTTCCGGCCATCTAGAGATTCCCTAATCCTAAATTTTTTAACCTCAACCCCAACCACGGTGGGGCTGAGGTGGGTGGTTCCTCGGTCAGTGAAAGTCCCTCCCTGGTTCACCTCTCTTTTGAATTCCTGGATCAGGTTGTTGATTTATTATATAATTATTGTTGCACTTATTTATAATACAATTTATTTTGCAATTTTCACTTTATCCTCTCAAAACAGTCCTAAGAACGTTCAGATTGCGCTACTTCACAGGGGAATTCGCCCCCGGACCCCGCCGGGGTCATACGTAATACGCATAACGGCTCCCCCCCCCCCTTTCAAAATCCTGGCTACGTCCCTGTCCAAAAGTAACATTGATGTTTCCAGTTGAGCTTACTTTTTACATAATTGGTGTCGGACCGTAAAAAACAAGGTGTTTTCTAGACAATCTTGATTGGCGGGCCGCAAACATAGGGTTTTTAATTCATTGTCGCGGGCCGCAAAAAGAAAAAAGCGCTGACGGGCCCGGGGGCCGCATCTGCCCACTTGTACCCTAGGGGTTCTAGATAATAGAATATAAAAAGTTGGAAACTATAGAGGGCATGCTACAGTGACTCGATCCCAGTTTTGCCAAACCCATAGACTTTATGGCCAAACCAGACCTTTTTTTGAACCCGGAAGCGCGCAAAGCACATTGATGGAGGATTAGTTTAAAAAGGTTATTAATTATTAGAGAGAGAACGTGAGTGTTTTTAATTGATTTTGAGACATATTCTTCTCCAGTGAGTAGGCATTTGTTAACTGGATAATCTTTACTGTTCCATAAACCAGCAGTCTAGGCTAGGCTTAACCTAAGCTTGGGTGCAGCAGCTAGGATTCGTACGTAGGCCTAGAGGCCCTAGGCCTACGTATTATAAATAAGAAGCCTGGCCCAAGTCCAGCAGTAGTAGAGTAGTAGTAGTAAAGTAGGCTAGTCCAGCCTGCCAGGCGATTTGATACTGCACTTTCTGTGTGGCCCTAGCCTAGGCCTGAATTCACTGTCCTTTATAACATCAACCTTCTATATAGGTTTTCTATTCAAACATTTCGCTGCAGCCCGAAACAAATGCTTTGTTTGTATGGATTTCTTTCAATACACAGAACAGTCAGTGGTAATTCCAGTCAGTGCCCCCTCCTTGTGACATGATGAAGAGGTGTAGGACTTAGGCCTAGAATAGGTATGTTAAAAAAAAATTAAATTTGATTGGATGTCCACAATACTGATATCACAAATTCTACCAAGTGTTATAACATTAAAAACGTTTACAAAATTAAATTTGGTTGTATGGTTGATTTTTAATGATTTTTTAAAATATTTTTTAAAATATTTAATTATGGCGAAAATTTTGCTACAGGCGTTATACAAAGTTTGTGACCTTTTTACTAATTTGTCAATTCTCATTGTGTATAACTTGAAAAAAAAAAGTTAATTAGGTACTATTATTGCTTTGATCTATACATGCATTATTTGACTAATTTATTATTACTACAGTGGTATTATTATTTTTTATTGTTTAAAAACTATTAATGTAGGCCTATGCAACACCAGGATGCTTGTGCTCTATATTCCTGTCAACAACACATATCATCCAATCAAATTTCAAATTCAATGTCAAGTGATCTATACAGACCAATTACAGGCCAGAATTGCCAAATAAGACGCCATATGCAATTTCGTGACGGTAATTCTCAATTATACACAGGTATATTAATCGCAAAATATCATTATAATAAATCAAAATCTTTAAAAATATTCTATTATATAATACTAAGCAATGATTATATTGGACATATTCATCAGTAATACAGACTTTATGTGTAAATTTAATATCAATTATGCCGTTTGAATCATCCTCCAATGTACACATCTTTCGATCAGCGGACATTTTTATGCATCGGACTCGAGAGTCGTAAGATTTGAGAAAATCAAAAAAATTGTTGAGTAGCGTCAGATCTAATTTATACTTGGCATAGATATTATTAAATATATAATTCTTAAAATTACAGGATGGTTTTTAAAATTTACAGAGCTTACAAAATATGTGTAAATGATGCTTTATTTCAAAGAAAAAGTTCCGTACACTGTAACTCCGTGACCGATCAATGAAAAAAATATTTTTAAATAGCGCAAGTAAACTTTGACCTGTTTACTTTGTAAATAAGTTCAAAGGTTAGCGAATGCAACCAATAAACGATTTAATACGATTTTTTCTAATCTGGATGCAAGATGCAAAACCAAAACAATCAGCATCGGCGTCGCGACAACGATAACAGTCTGTGACGTCACTCTTCTAACATACCTACCTAGAACTTCATGGCGAGGCCTGCATTTACACTTGGCAAATCAAAGTTTGTGGCTTCAAGATACTCTTCAAATATTCAGACAGCTTTACTACTTGTTCTTTCGTATTATCACTCGCTACTCACTATCTATTTCTCAATGTTCATCAACCAGTTTTTTAAGTCTGGAGCAATTTGCCAGTTGTTTTTCCCAGCCTAACAATATGCAGTGTGCAGCAGAGTGATCATCTGCTTAGGTCAAATTAGACTAAAGTTAATAAAAGCACACCATCAACAATAGGCATAGCATGATGTTCTTCATTGCGACATACAGGTGAATTGCAAGATGGCAAAGCACAAAGTGTATTAACCGGCTAAGAGGGTATTAACTGTTGTCTGGCTTTTAACCAATCAAATGTCTGTATATGTATGTATTGTATGCACTTTTGAATATATAATACATTGATTTTATTTGAAATCTTATAATTGACTTTATAATAGGAAAACATTTTAACCAGACATGCATTGAACTACCTTACCTATATGGGTGAGCTAAGATGTGATACTACAATTATCCAAGGCTTGTGGAGGTCGATTACTGAGGCAGAGTTGGGGGGGGGGGCAAAGATTTATCAGCAAAGTCACCTAGGTAAGTAATATTTTACAGGTAAAACATGTTTGCTTACTAATTATTAAATTTAAGGGGTCACATTTGAGAATTGGTCAGTGGACTCCTGAGTAAAACTCCTGCCAGACATTAATTACTAAGGGTCATTCTACGTCAAATCAACCGATGGGGTTACAGGTCACCTCTCGGATTTTGCTGAAATTTTTTATAAGGTTGGTCTATCTATATAATGAACACATGCAAAAAAAAAAAAAATTCCCAAGTCCTAGTCGTTTCCGAGTTACGGCCAAAATTTCATTTTCAACAACACCTTGCCCCCTCAATTTTGTTTTTTACCTATATATGTAATATCAGACTATTTTGTTTAGTAATTATGGGTAATTTTAAGGTCTGAAAATGAAATTTAATTTGACCAACTGAACAAATTTTCTTTAAAGTAGCTCATAGAGAAAAAAAGGAGATCGATAAGTTTTATTTTATGCCAGATCTGAGTTCCTTCGGCAAAACTGACTATGTATAGCAATTTTCAGCTTTGTATCTTAATTTAAAAGCACTTTAAAGGGCATTCAAAAATGCAAAATCTTCAAAATAAATTTAACACCTGTCTCTTATACACATCTAGATGTGTATAAGAGACAGGTGTTATATGCTTCCAGAAACCTGATTGAGTTCATTTAACTGTCATTTTAAAGTAAATGATATGTTCTATGCCATTATAACAAAAACTCATTTTGGCCTGGGGACGAGTTTACAGCCCTTTTGTGAGCTTGTGTGAGCTTGGGTCACAAATTAGACTAAAGTTAAAAAGCACACCATCAACAATAGGCATAACATGATTTTCTTTTATTGCGACATACAAGTGAATTGCAAGATGGCAAAGTGTATTAACCGGCTAAGAGGGTATTAACTGTTGTCTGGCTTTTAACCAATCAAATGTCTGTATATGTATGTATTGTATGCACTTCTGAATATATAATACATTGATTTTATTTGAAATCTTATAATTGACTTTATAATAGGAAAACATTTTAACCAGACATGCATTGAACTACCTTACCTATATGGGTGAGCTAAGATGTGATACTACAATTATCCAAGGCTTGTGGAGGTCGATTACTGAGGCAGAGTTGGGGGGGGGGGGGGCGAAGATTTATTAGCTAAGTCACCTAGGTAAGTAATATTTTACAGGTAAAATATGTTTGCTTACTGATTATTAAATTTAAGGGGTCACATTTGAGAATTGGTCAGTGGACTCTTTTGAGTAAAACTCCTGCCAGACATTAATTACTAAGGGTCATTCCACGTCAAATCAACCGATGGGGTTACAGGTCACCTCTCGGATTTTGCTGAAATTTTTTAAAAGGTTGGTCTATCTATATAATGAACACATGCAAAAAAAAAAATTCCCAAGTCCTAGTCGTTTCCGAGTTACGGCCAATCAAAGTTAGGTACTAAAATGTGTTACTATAGAGCTACTGGAAACAACAATTTGTTCAGTCGGTCGAATTAAATTTCATTTTCAACAAACCTTGCCCCCTCAATTTTGTTTTTTACCTATATATGTAATATCAGACTATTTTGTTTAGTAATTATGGGTAATTTTAAGGTCTGAAAATGAAATTTAATTTGACCAACTGAACAAATTTTCTTTTAAAGTAGCTCATAGAGAAAAAAAGGAGATAGATAAGTTTTATTTTATGCCAGATCTCAGTTCCTTCGGCAAAACTGACTATGTATAGCAATTTTCAGCTTTGTATCTTAATTTAAAAGCACTTTAAAGGGCATTCAAAAATGCAAAATCTTCAAAATAAATTTAACACATTTTAATTCCTAACTTTGACGGGCTGTAACTCGGAAACGACTTGGATTTCGGAATTTTTTTTTACATGCGTTCATTATATAGATAGATCAACGTTATAAAAAATTTTCAGCAAAATCCGAGAGGTGACCCGAATCATTTTCCAAAAAATTTGTGGTTTTAACACGGAATGACCCTATGGGTACTGGGTGTACATAACCAGGCATCCTTTCGTAGTCCAAAGGCAGGCACACACTGCACCAACAGTTGTTGGCCAACGCAGTCCCATGGACAATGTGCGGTAATGGTAATGGTTTGGGACTTGTAAAGCGTATACTACATGGTCTCTATGCGCTTAAGTTACACGAAAGAAACACATTGACAATGTGTGCACATTGACAATCCATTTAGACTGCCACTGACTATCAGCAGATGGCGTCTCATCATCAAAAGCGCACATGAACGCAATGTGTACTCCCAAAATTCTTCGAAAGGTGCCTTATCTAGTGGTGAGCCTGATGATCACAACCAGACTAATTCCAACTTTAATGTGAAAGATTGATTGAATTACCAAAAGTAACACAATGTTCACATGGCCTAGAATATTAGATATTTTAATTCAGTTGTGACATTGTGATTTTCATTTCCACATAAATTACCTATCATCTACCTATCTCGATTACTCTACATGCCTATTTTAGAGAGTTACATTGATGTTTATTGAACAGAAATAATATTATATTATTAAATCTATTTTAGATTGAAAGTTTGTGAAGCTCAACATTTGGAGTAATAGCGTACTGTATTATAGTATATTGCTGTGAAAAGTAAAACATTCAAGAAGGATGAAGGATCCAGGTAAACTATTGATAATACTTGTTGCCAATATATAGGCCTGCTATTTCTCAATCCTAAATCATCACAAAGTGATCATCAAGTGCTTTGTTATCATTACACTAAAAACAGTAGCAGTCATACAGAGCCTGCAGCCTCTACATCCGATACCAGAAAAAGTCACAGGAAACAAAAAAATAAAAACAAAATTCAGCATCGGATCATTCCAAGCCATGCATATTTTCATGTATTGTTGATTTACTACAACCGTTTGCAAGCATTATAAATACATCCCAGATTAATAATATATGAAGATTTCCATTTTTTTACGCCTGATATAGTTAAAGAAGACCGAATTTGGTCAATCATTTTTATTTTGGGAATGCTGTATCTTGCCCTACAGTATGTCACCTTTTAATGTTTGCACGTGATATTTGAACATGTAGCAGAACAGGTTTGTGTTCCTTGGGAGAATTTGATCTGTAATGTACTGTAATCATTAAATGCTGAAAATTAACTTATTATTAACAATACACTACACTATCTTTTTATTTTATACAATTGTATTGCCATCATTTCTCCACAGAGTTCTTGTCGATGCTGGTTCAACTTTCCGAGGCAATCAGCAAGAAAGGTGAAAAATATTTAGACCTGTTCAGAGTTCTGTACAGAGATCTTGTAAATGTTAAATCAGATTTGGAGAATGCTAAGTGTGCATTTGATTTATTTCAAGCGCTAATAGCATCTGGAATTTTGAAGCCAACAGACATTTCAGTTTTGTTTGAAACAATTGAACTGACTGGATTGAAATATTTGATAGAGATAATCAAGACATATGAGACATATCCTGATGAAGTGAAGATCACTCGATTTACACCACATCGTCAACAGGTTGTTGCTCTGGGAAAAGACTTTTCTGTTAAAGACCTTCAGAAGGTTGGTCAGTTGTATGAAGGCAATTTTTCTAACCCATGGAAACTGATTCAACATCTTGAAGATGCATCTGTTCTAACTGAAAATAGCATATCATCATTTATTCAACGTTTGAATAAGAATAAAGTAAATGAAGGTTAGTAATAAATATAGGATATCACATTTCAATATATATACATGCAAATAGGACATGATAATTATTATTAAAAAGCTGTACTTTTGTATTGAGATAGTTCTTGAGCCGTTTACAATATGTTTTTTCAGGTTAATGATTAAATTCAATGAGAATAGTTGTCGTGAACTGCAGTATTGAGGATTATGCCATTTAAGAATTAAAAAAATATAAAAAATCAGAGTGATAGTTTGAGTATAGAAAAAATAACAACAAATATTTATTCCTTTAACTTATGTACTGAGGCCTTTTATGCCAAATACAATTGCAAATAGATACATATTCACTTACATGAGTGATCAGAATTCTGGCCCTAAAATCTAGACTAGGAAATAGTTAGAATGTTGTTCGGAGAGCGTTTTTAATTCCAAGGAATTAATGAATGTGTAATGTCAACTTCATTCTGGTATTCCTGGGATGTTTTTAATCTATACCCCCCCCCCCCCTAACAAAAGATCACAATAGTTTAGGGAATTTATTTTAGTTAATCTTTTTTTAGAGACTATATTTTCTTTAAACAGATTTTAATCAACTACTTGTGACAATATCTGATGCAATCATCATGAAAGGTGAAAAGTATGTAGACATGTTGAGGGTTCTGTACAAAGATCTTGCAGAGATAAAAACAGAATTGGAGGAAGCTAAATCCGCATTTGATTTATTCCAAATACTAAGAGTCGCTGATGTTTTGAAAGCAACAGACATTTCAATTTTATTTGAAACAATTGAAGTAACTGGATTAAGGTATTTGAAGGAGATAATTAAGACGTATGACACATATCCAGATAAGGTGAAAATCATGCAATTTTCAGCACATCGTCAACAGGTTATTGCTCTGGGAAAAGACTTCTCTACCATAGATATTCAAAGGATTGGTCGGAAGTATGAAGTTCCAGTATCTGATGCAATCAGCATGAAAGATGAAAAATATGTAGACATGTTGAGGGTTCTGTACAAAGATCTTGCAGAGATAAAAACAGAATTGGAGGAAGCTAAATCTGCATTTGATTTATTCCAAATACTAAGAGTCGCTGATGTTTTGAAAGCAACAGACATTTCAATTTTATTTGAAACAATTGAAGTAACTGGATTAAGGTATTTGAAGGAGATAATTAAGACGTATGACACATATCCAGATAAGGTGAAAATCATGCAATTTTCAGCACATCGTCAACAGGTTATTGCTCTGGGAAAAGACTTCTCTACCATAGATATTCAAAGGATTGGTCGGAAGTATGAAGTTCCAGATGACTTCTGTTCTAATCCTTGGAAACTAATCACATTTCTTGAAAGTAATGGTATTGTTTCCGAAGGTAACTTGTCATCGTTTCTCATGAATTTGCAAAGAGTTGGTGAGTATGACGATTATTTAATTATTTTATTTGCAATACCAAAATACCAATACTGTATTAATGTTGCAATCTATGGTGTTATATTAGGATACCACTGTTGGAGCCCGAGAAATACTGATATATTCTCTCATTTCTTATAATTAGCAACAGATACACATTTAGAAAACTCAGCTACAGCACTGTAAACTGATCATATTTGAACATTGAATACCAAAAGTGCATCACTGAATCATTTTAATAAGGATTTAAACACATTCCCTACATCACATAACTATTTACAATATATTTGTAACCTAGCTTTAGGCTCTGAAACAATAGTTAATTTTTAACCAATAAGTATCTTAAATAAATAAATACACAAACATCACAATTAAGTTACTGTAACTTGTCAGTTAAAAGGGGGGGGGAAGTGGAGGGTGCGGGGATGAAATGATTTATGTTTAATATAAAATAGGGGGATGGGCAACCAAAATGACGGTGACGTCACATAATCTTGGAGCACTGTATTCAAAAAGGAGGCTCGTCAACTGCATCCTTAGTAACCCCGTAAAAAATTGAGTCAAACTTTAAGTATTCTAAAACATGAATTTGGCCGCACTTTACATTCATATAAGTTGTTCTTAAAGAAAATGTCTCAGTTTTGTGTAAAACTAGCTGTGTACTTTCGGAAGGGAATCAAAGCAAACTGAATGCATGAGACTAATTTTTTTTTAAAGGAGTATTTCATATGATAGTGCTATCGAATGGAATAGATTTAGCCCTGATTTACAGTCTTCTCTTGATATGTGAAATAAGATTGATTTAAAAATTATCCAAGTATAGCAAGTTTACTACAGTAGGCTACCACATTCAAAATACTCTACACAGCTACTAGAAATTATGGTAAATTATGTGTTGAAGACAGTTCAAGTCCAAACTATATACCAGGTACAAAAATAGTAAATATAAGAATTACTGCAAAAAAAAGTTATGTTATTGTATTCATAACTCTCTTTGTTCCTTTTATTTCTCTATAATTCATCTTTGTTTTACAGTCCGAGATTAAACATTTTATAAAGTATGTTTTTAGGTTTCAAAAACTTACTCTGCACAACCTCATCCCATATTTTCCAATTTAAAAAAAATGTTTTATATACAGTATACATTTTCTTTATGGCAAAATTCAACAGCCTGAAAAAAAAAAAAAAAAAAAGGTTGTTAACTAGGGGCACCAAGTATTGTTGGTGGAGGTAGTGATAAAAAAAACTAATATTATTAAGGGTGATGTACCCATAGTGCAAGACATTTCCTTAGAGTACTTCAAGAAATAAACAGTTCTGCTTGACTCGCAACCATCTCAGTAACTTTCCTTAAATCTCTGATATATGTCACTGCAGCTCTACAAATAAAATGTTAAGCAAACAGTGCAAATGGTTAACTCGCATGTTCCAAGCCTTTCAATAATTTTTTTTTTCAGCCACAATCACTTGCAGAGCTCTGTGAGTATGGCTGGCTTCTGTTAACCAAAGCTTCGACATGTCCATTTCATCATGTTCACGCTGATGGAATCCTTCACAGCAAATCCATTCGTGCCTATCAAAAATATGTCTTAATATATATGTCCATCTCTCCAATGGAGGAATAAATATAGTCACAATAAGCTGATCAGATTTGTTAAAAATCAAACCACCCATCTTCAAGGTCTTCCAACCAGCCTACAGATTACTTCAAGGGTTTCCACCAGCCTAATAAACTTAATACCCGTCATAGAGTCAGCTGAATACCTTCAGAGTATTTAAATTTGTTTCCACCAACCATTAACTGTTTTACAACCACCCTTTAATTTTTGTGGCTATATCCATGACATTAGCAGATTTTTCAATCACACAATTACCATACTAAGACATGCATCTGAAAAGGCATTGATCTTAAAAACCTTTTCAATTTAGAGTTATTTTTTTTACTGTAAGTGCTTTGTAATTACATTTACATATATGTTTTCCCTATTTTCAGTTAAATAGAAGTTCTATGGATACCATAATATGTTAACTGTATATGTGTTAAAACATTTGATTCCTTCCTCTCTTATTTGTCTTTTATATTATTACAAAATAATATTAATACGAAATTCATACACATGTTAACGTTTCTTGATAAAACACAAATGTTTTTTACAAAAATTACAGCAAACATCTTTACCATATCAATAAAACTACAACTTGTAATCTGAACAACAATGGGATATAAAAGTATTAACAAAATTTCTTATTACTGATACCTTAAACTGCGTGTAGCTTCCATTACAAGTTGCAGCAGATCACCAAAAGTGGTTTATAATGGCTTTCTGCCAAGGTCTTATTTTTTTATGCTTGCCGCATGCTTTTACCAACTTTTTTCGTACGCTTTTGACAAGATGCCAGATGTCATACTCGTGTCGAATGTCAGGATACTTTTCTCTCATCGTTTTGGCGATTGAGGAATGCCTGTCTGACCAGACTGAGTGTCGATGTGTATCTTGCAGTTTTACTTTCATACTTCACCATTGGCTTAGAGAAATTTAATATTGGAATGTTTCATTCAATGTCAGGTATCATCTAGCCAGATACTATAGCCCCCGGAGCAGTTGACATTTGACCTTAAAACATTTATTAGGATCCAAGGTATATATGAAGACATGCCTATGGTAACAATTTCATGATGATTGGAGTAAAACTGTAGTAAGGAGGTTGCTCATATTCATTTAAACAAATTTTTGAAAAAATATAACAGTTAATTTAAATTTAGCCCCCTGCATCCATAAAAACATCATCAATGTTGTGTACAAATTGTTTGTTGTAGAAAAACAAATAACCTTCAGCTTCTTCAAACATCTTTTAAGTCCTTCATTCTCCAGCCAATAGGAATTTGACACATCCTTCTCGCCAACAGCCACCGACTTTGAAGATATTATGACATCATTTATTGTATCGATTATTGTGTACATACCGAACTCTACCAAGTGCCCGGGAGAGTTGTGTCTTGCATCACCCTCAACAGTTACTTCGTTGGCAAATATTTATAAGCTTAAAAAAAACAAAAAAAAAACAACATAGTTTTGTATAAAACTAATTACAAATTTGACAATTTACGGTGACATTAAATATAAACACAAAATGTGAAATAACTTTTTAAAAACCAAAATAAATAATCAAATAAAGCCCAATAAAAAATATATTAGTTATTTTCACAGCTTCTTCACTTTTAGGGTTATTTTTGTTAATTCAGATTATTTTTTTTTCATTATATTTTTTTAATGGTAAAAATAAAGTAGGTTGTGTGTGTATGTCAGTCATGCAATTTCTTTTGAAAGCAGCAGACCAACAAACAACCAAAGAATGATATTTGAGGCATGTCTTGGCAAAATGGTTAAGTTGTCGCACAGGCCAGTATTGAGTAAATGAGCTATCAAATATGGGAGCTCAAAAAATTACCTAAAAATCCAAATTTGTTTTTCATTATAAATCAACAGTTTAATGTCTTATTAATCATGTACCAAAGTATTAGTTCTGGAAGTGGTCAACAAATTGTTTATTTAATGTTATTTTGATAGTTCATTCTATTAAACAATATATGCACAAATAACTTTGAAAGGCAATTACTCGAAATCATGTTTATTTTGATTCTAAGAGTACTGTACTTTCACTTTCCAATAACTTAGGCTTGAAATGTCCAATTTCAATGAATGACCCCTCATTTTAAAGATCACATACTCAGGTATCTGAAAATACCAATAACTTGAATTTCAATTTTTGCTACAACTTGGCCATTTTGCCACAACATGCCTCATTTGACTTAAAAAACCCAAAACAGTATAAAATAAAGGGTCTCTTTTCCATCACTTCTTTTTAGATCAAAATAAAACTATTTTCTGTCAGGACAATTAATAACCAATGAAATATGAATTATGGTTATTACTGTAAACATTAAATTTTATTAAAATATAATATTTCTTTGTGCTGACTTACAGTACCTTTGTGTATAGTCTCTGGGGCATTATACATCTTTTTGGTATTTGGTAGCAAGATATCTCTATATTTCATAGAAAGTTGAATTTTTTTTTTTATCGTGGCTAAATTTATGACATCACACATCTCATTGAGTGTTGTTTGTGTATTACTAGAATTCAGGTGCCTGTACATCCATCAGTTTATCTGTACAAAAACCATTAGTAATTTTAGAACTTATAGCTAAGCCATTCTTCCGAGTAGGACAATTTATGCTATGGTCTACTGTACTTTGGTTTAGCTGCTTATGTCAATTTCTATTTTCTCTGTAGGTAATGAAATAGCATCAACATCAAAAAGACCAAATTTAGACAAAGGTATGTACTGGGTGCTGAATAATTGCTTGTTGTATTTAATGAATATCTATAATGGTTATTATAACAACACAATTCACCTGATATTTATCATAAATGTAAGTTATTCACAAGTATTTCAAAGTTCACTTTGTAACGAATATATTCCCAGCAGGAAGTATGACAAAGAGCAAACAAAAAATTATTCAAATAATTACATCTGGTTGGCTATGTGACTGTAGAACTGTTTCATTGGTAATAAACCAAGCACAATTTGATGTAAATTTAACTGCAAGCTTTTGTTCCTTAAGTGCTCTACACTAAATTTTTGATGACGTGCCAGGCCTGTAGCCAGGTTCTTCCAAGGGGAGGAGGTTTTCTGGGCATGAGGTCCACAGTCCAAGGCCCAGTGGGTTCCGCGAAACCCCCAAAGCGAGAGGATTTTTGTGCTTTATGGGACTAAATAATGCTATAAATGCGGATATGTTTGTCTGGGTGAGTCTGCAGTGCATTAGTTGGGGTTGGAGGACTTATTTGGGAAATGGTTTGCTAGAAAAGGGAGGCTCGTGCCAACTGTATTGCTACACCTACAGTAAGCTTAGCCACAGGCCATCGTAATGCATAGAATTACAGTAGGACAATTAATTCTATACCAGTTTTGTTGTATTAGTAATCTTTGTATTAGTATAAAAATTATATTGAAATGCCTAGGTAGGCAAAGATGTTAAAGAAACTGAACGTTAGAGAGTGAAGAAAAAATGAATTACAAAATGAATCTTGTAAAAAAAAGAAAAATGATTTTAGTGATACATTTAGATAAATGAATATAAGCTTTATTTTGTTCTTTAAGGTAGGGAGTAGAAAAATTTAGCTGTGGTGTACTATAGTGCTGCTAATTCACAAATTGTCAATTTTGATTTCTCAATAGGTATTGGAGAAGCATCAATACCAAAACGACCCAAGTTAGACAAAGGTATGTACTGGATACTGAATATCTTTAATTATGTACAGTATAACTGTATAATCAATGAATGGATAATCAATATAATTATCTGATAACATGTATTTGTGATTTACTTAATTAATTTTGAGTGACCCTAATGTTTTATAAAGAAAGTTAGTCACAAAAACTTATTTATTTTCTAACACAATGTTAGAAAATAAATACATAACAAAAGTAATTTGATTTTTTTTTTCCACCTTAATTTTATAAATTGTTTTTGTTTTAAACTTCATTGTATTACTATATAGGTGTGTTCTACTACTACACAAGCTTAGAGGTCAATGTTGGGGGACAGAGGAAACATGTGCCCCCCCCCCCACATTTTAAATTAGAAAGGAAATTGTACAAATATCCACCTCACTATTTAATTTTCAATAGTAACATAATATAATATATACTTAATAGTTAAAATATGTAGTTCCACTAAACCCATTGTATTGCTCTTTTGAAACATCCTAATTAAATTCATAATATCATCTAAAATCAGAAAATTATTTATTTTAGGCAACCTGTTACACACTATTGTTTTGTTCATAATTCCCAATGATTTATTCTCATTGCAGACAAGTCAAGAGAATTAGAACAATCAAAAAGGTCACTGTCAGATGAAAGTGTGTTTATTTAATAGCATTATATTGATATTTTAATACAAGTACATCCTAACAATACTAAATTGTACATTGACAAGTTATAGAGTAATTACATAAATTTGCATACTAGGGAGTAGTTAAGTACACGGTTCAAAATATGGTTTAAATGTACTATATTCAAGTGTTTTAAAATTAATTCCTGTATCAAGATTGGCTTTAGCATATCAATCAAGTTAAAAAAATTAAATCATTAGAATTTTATAATATTTCATCATCAGTTACATCATAATTCAAGAGTGGGGTGGGCAGCAGGGCCCAAATCATTAGATATCTGTTAGCATATTTTTAATTTTTGAAAATTGTGTTCATATTCAACACTGGGACTTCTTTACATACTGTAGGTGACTTAACAAAATTTGCAGTCCAAAAACACCCAGATCACTTCGCCTTCTTCAACTCCCATATCCATCTCTGGACTTTTATGCATACCTCAGCTCTACTATAACACAAGATTGGTCACAATTTATTAACAAGCTTATATTATAGGGCTCTCATTTTCTTTATATCCTAAAACCCCACTCATGCATGATGTCACTGTTCTTGGTGGTACATTCAAACTAGTTGCCTTCTCAAGTATTGAGAAAATCACTGCAATGAACATTGAGAATATATATATGTGCACATCTTCAGAGGTACTGGAAAAAAAATGTTAGTAGTTATTGTTTTTATTATGTCAGTCATGTTTTGCTTTGAATATTAATGCACCAGTAAACAACCCAAGGATGATTTTTGGCTTTAAAGCAAAATAAAAAATTTAAAAAAGCCTCCCTCCCTCATCACTTTTCAAGCCTAGATAGGGTTATAAACTAATTGTATTTCTTATAGGGCCTAGGGACTACACAATTATACAAATACAGTACCATAAGGGTGCGTGACCTACTATTTATTAAAGTATATATTTACTAATAAGGAAGATGATAAAAAAAAAAATCAAAAATTAAACTAAATATTTATTAAAGTATATAGTTACTAATAATGAAGGGATAAAGAAAAATCAAAAATTAAACTAAATATTTATTAAAGTATATAGTTACTAATAATGAAGATGATAATGCTAGGGGTTGTGGTAATGAGGAAAATGATATTACTAGTGACACCACCTCAGCCGCATTATGGTTTGGGGAGCGGGGGAGGGCGGTGAGAAGCATAAACATGTTATGGCACCGATAGATAGATGGCCTGCAATAGACTCTTCAATTTTTATTTTATTATTTAATTAATTTTTTTATGTTTTCTCCACCCTTTGTAATTTTAAAAAGAATAGGAGCCTAGATTAAAATTCTTTTAAATTCAAAATTGTTCTGAACCATTTCAGATTTAATTATCAAAGGTTCCCTGATGAAGAGGCAGAAAGAACTGTATAAGAATGAGAATCGTATGACACCAGCAATCTGGCATAAAGGTCATAAAGTAGATATTGCAAAAGTTTTCACTGAACTCAAGTTGCTGCAGTCTAAGAAAAAAGAAGATAAAGACAAGTCAACATGCACAGCAAAGGAAGGTAGACCCACATCATTAACAGAGGCATTAGGTGTTATTAAATCATCAGATTCTTGTAAGGTATTAATAACAGGGAAGGGAGGAATGGGCAAGACTACACTCCTTAAATATATTGCGCATCAGTGGGCTACTGATGATGGACATGTCTTTGCTGATAAATTACTGTTTCTGATAAATATCAGGGAAATTAAAGCAAGTAAAACGTTCTTGGACATAATAATGAACAAAATTGATTGCAAAGCAGTAATTCATAAGAACAATTTTTCATGTGATTCAGTGGAACGTTTCTTGGTCACACATGATGATGAAATAGTAATTTTGTTAGATGGATATGATGAGTTAGAAAGAAATGCTAAAGACCCAATTGATCTATTTAAAAGAAGCGAATTGGGAGAAAGCTCAGTGGTTATAACATCTCGACCTGACAACACAGCTGATTTGGTTGAATGCTGTGATGTACATATTGAGGTAAAAGGATTCAGTTCAAGTAACATAAAGAAGTATATTCAAAATCATTTTCATTCAATTTGTGAAGTAAGAATTGGTAATTCTTTAATAAAAGAGTTTGGACTTGATCTAAAGTATACAAGTGATTGTGGTGGCGGTAATCACAAAGAAGCATTTGAGTTGTGCTCATCTCCACTGTTATTGCTTCAAATTTGTACCATATGGAAACTAAAACGTGTTCTTCCCACATATTTGCCCGATCTTTTCAAGGAACTCATTTGTTGTATTTTAAATCAATACCTAAACAGGGCTGGCAATAAATCGGTTATTGCCAATTTTGAGAGAATTCCTGATCAGTATATATCTGCATTTTTAATTTTAGGAGAATGTATGTATGAAGGACTTAAGAAAAATATACTATCTATTGACAAATATGATTTGTCAAAGATGGCAAAGAATAAAGAATTATTAAATTTAGCACTGGAATTTGGGGTTGTTTATGAAGATACCCCTGTTGATCCAGGGGATGTAAGGGAGATGTACACACCCCCACATAAATTAATGTCTGAGGCACTAGCAGGGCTGTACCTGTCTACAGAAATTCAAAAAGGGAGTTCAAAGGTTGAGTATGACAAAATAAGATGTAATGATTATTTAAATATGACAAGGGTGTTTGCAGTAGGATTTTTAGGTGCTGATGCTGATAAGATGCTGAAACCATGGTTGATAATCAGGCCCTCAAATTATCGCTCAATTGTACAATGTTTAGAACATGTGAAGAAAAAACATGAAGATGATGTTCTAAAGAAATTGGATGAGCACATGTCCAACGATATGAAAGCCTATAATAAACAAATGTGGGAGTCATTTAGAAGTCTTCTAAATGATGACAGAGACACATTAAGTATGCATTTATTCAAACTCATGGAAAGATGTTGTAAGAAATATGATGTTTACAGTCTTCAAGATGCAGCAATATCTTTGATAAGTAGGTGCACAGAAATGCAGTGCAGAATTGTTGCACATACCTTAGTGTTATTAGATGTAATAGACTGGCACAGTAAACCAAAGAAGTTACTTCGATGTATTACAACTTGGCAAGATGAAGAAATCGATTTACTTTCAGCTGAGATGAAAAAAAATCATTATAAATATCCTCATTATTTCTTAGAGATTAATTGTAAATTTAGTTCAGCATTCTTGATTCATTTCCTTAAATATGCAAGTGACTTAAATGACTTATTAATACCCATTACACCCAGTTTAGTTACTATACTTAACACAGTTATTAATGATTTGTACACTGCCAATATAAAGTTAAATTTACGAACACTTGATCTTCATGGCAATGATCTAAATGATATTGATGGAAGGTTACTGGGAAAATTATTTAAAATAGCTCCTAAATTAAAATATCTAGGTGTAAGCAAATGTAGGCTATCAGGTGGTATTTTAAGGGCAATGATCACAGAATGCCAAAACAGTGAAGGTACAGTAAACATCCCTGACCTTGGCTATAATGAAAAAATGAACAATTTGAAAAAATTCCCCAAACTAAGTTATTTAGATATAAATAATTGTAGTTCATCAGGCAGTATTAATGAAATAACAGAGGATTGTGGTAGGATGAATGTAGTTTTGAAAGACTCCAAGCTTAATCTGCAGGGCAACAACCTTTCAGACATTGATGGTAAATCACTTGCAGAGTTAGTCAGGGTAATTCATTATGATGATGAGAATATAATTTTCAGTTGGAGGAATTATTCTCTTACAGCTGATAACCTAGTAAAGCTAGTTGAATCTGTAGGTGAAAATATAACATTCAACTGGAAAATGATAGATTTGACTAAGGTAAACCTATCTCCAGTCAGTGGAATAACATTAGCTCGTCTGTTTAAGAATTCCCCAGACCTGAAACATATTGACATGACTTACTGCAGTTTATCAGGCAGTATTGTTAATGAAATGATGGAAGAATGCCGTAGGATGAATGTAGTTTTGGAAGACATCAGACTCAGTCTGCAGGGCAATGACCTTTCAGATATTGATGGTAAATCTCTTGCAGATTTAGTCAAGGTAACTATTAAGCCATATCAAACTTTCATTTGGAGTGATTATTTTCTTACAGTTGATAACCTAGAAAAGCTGGTTAAATCAATAGGTGAAAATATAACATTGAATTGGGAAAGAATAGATTTTGATAGGATCAACCTGTCTTCAATCAGTGGAAGAACATTAGCTTGCCTTGTTAAAATCTCCCCATACCTGATCCATATTGACATGAGTTACTGCAGTTTATCAGGCAGGATTGTTAATGAAATGATGGAAGAATGCTGTAGGATGAATGTAGTATTGAAAAACAACATGCTTAGTTTGGAGGGCAATGACCTTTCAGATATTGATGGTAAATTACTTGCAGAGTTAGTCAATGTAATTGATCAGCCTTATGGAACTTTCTGTTAGAGTTATTATTTTCTTGCAGCTAATAACCTAAAAAAGCTGCTTGAATCAATGGTAAAACAATAGCCTGCCTTTTGAAGATCTCTCCAGACCTGATCCATATTGACATGAGTTGCTGCAATTTATCAGTCAGAATTGTTAATGAATGTTCGTGGAATCAAAGTAGGCCTACAGTATTATGAAGAGTGTTGAATGTCAACATGCTCAGTCTGAAAGGCAAACCTTTCAGATATTGATGGTAAATTATTTGTAGAAATAATCATAGTATTGCATAATTGTATTATCCCTTTCAGATGGAGTGATTATTTTCTTACAATTGATAACCTAGAAAAGTTGGTCGAATCAGTAGCTGAAGAAAATATGAAACTGAATTGGCAAGTGATAGATTTGATTACTATTAACCTATCTTCAATCAGTGGAAGAACATTAGCTTACCTTGTTAAGATCTCTTCAGACCTGATCTATATTGACTAGACTGGGTTCCAGTCCCTAATCTTTGTCTTTAAATCTATTTTGACACCAATGGCCTTCCATATTACCTATTTGCTTGGCGTTTCATAGTACTGTATACTTTTTCTTGGATTAGATTCTAAATTCGCATAAAAGTTTCTCGATATATACCGTCGCTGGTGGCGCTCTCCAAAATTAGCTAATACTAGGAAAACCTATAATTAGAGACTTGTGGCAAGTCTACATATTGACACGAGTTCTTGCAGTTTATCAGACAGTACAGTATTGTTAATGAAATGCTAGTTGTAAGATGAATGTAGTTTTGAAAGACAACATGCTTACTCTGTGGGTTAATGACATTTCAGATATTGATGGTAGATCACTTGTAGCAATTTTTTTAGGACTATAACATATGAATTGTGTATAAACCAAACATACACAACATGCTGTTATTATATATTGTTAACAGCAAAATATTATACAACCAATGCATTTAGTTCAGTGTGTGTGATTAATATTTGTATGTGTGATTAATATTTGTTTGTATGCTTTAAAATCGAGGCAATTGACAAAGTATTGGTGCTGGACCCCTATTACCCCTGTATGTACACTATGTTAATATATGTCGCAAAGATAATCAACAGTCATACACAATTTAGTTTTTTAATGTTGATTTGAACAACTGTATAAGATTGTTTTGCTTGATTATTAAAATAAAATTTTATGAAAATATTTACATGTATGTACTGTGTTTGCGTTGTTGTGTGTCTACCCGGACGTGCTTACCTCTCTCCTTTAGGGTACCGTTCAATCTCGTTCACTGTACCCAAATGGAAACGGGGCTGATAAACAGAAATGATGGAGGATGATGGGATGAATAATGAACGGATGTGGTTAGATGATGATGAGGATGGTGGATGAGAAATGAAGGATGGATGATGGATGGAAAATAAGTATGTATGAAGAATATTGAGAAATAATGAACGATGGAGGACAGAGGAAGAAGAATTCAAATCAATACAAATTTCTTTATTGCAATCACATAAAAATACAGATTGAATTTACTAAAAAATACTATAAGATTCGGTCATATCAAAAAACCATAAAAATTCAAAATTCAAAGAGCGAACATATCGAAAACAAGCAGACACGTTTACTTTTGATTTATTTTAAATTTATTTTCTTATTTCTGTTTTTCATTCATTAATTTATTATTTATTCATTCTTTTTTTTTTCATTATTTTTTTTCCCTTTTTAATCATCTACTACAAACTTGGTTGGTCGATTTTTAATGAAAGCATGCTTTAAGGCATTTGTATTTTTCAGTTGCCTATTTTGCTTTACTTTATTTTAAAACTACTTATTTGATATGTTTATATTACAATGTTATTCTATTTAACTTACTCTATTTTGTATGTTGATTTGATTTTGAAATAAAACATTGAAATGAAAAGACACTAGCAACAATAAAAGAAAAGAAGGAAAACAAATGAAAATTTTTTTTAACTTGAAAAGCTCAGGATTTCTTGTAAATATGTATAAGCACCAGTTCACATTAAGAGATCTTAACTAGTTTATGTCGCGATAAATATAATTAAACATATACTTAATGATAGTTACAAAAGTATTACACAATGAATATTGTGCAGAAAACAATGTTTAAAAGCTTATATATACTGTATTATATTGCACAGATATTGAGTTGATGTTTCATATGGAATATGGTAAAAATGAATTAAGGAGTCTATTGGTTCTACATTTTAGTTTAACTATCAATGTTCATCATCATGTTGTATTTTATTCAATCATCAATTAATAAATCAATCATCTGGAACACCCAGACATGGTGTAAACACATTAGGCCACAGCGTCAAACAAAACTGAAAAAATACTGCTGAAACTTCAGCTTAAAATCCTCATAGTACGGTCCAGTCAATTTGCATATTGGAGTACTTCAGGAGCGACATTTATATTGATTTCATAGGTTACCGACTTGTACATTGTTGGGTTGTCTGCGCAGCGCCAGAAACTACAATACTTGCTTTTAAATTGTAAATTAATAATTTTTTTTTAAATTCATTTTTCATTTAATTTTCATCCATCTTCCCCCTTTAAATTGTACTTTATTTTATAAGATTTTTATATAATGTACAGTGCGTATTGGGTTTATGTATTTATTGTTATCGTTATGTATTTATTGATCATCTTTGCCCTTTAAATTGCACTTTATTTTATAAGATTTTTATATAATGTAGATACAACATACAACATTTTATATAGTTGTAGCCCTCCCTCAGATGGTGCCCTCAAGTGTGAGATATAACTTTAATGCGTATTGTAACAAAAAAATATCAAATATAAGCATATTGAATAAGCTACACTGTCAAACAAGCGGTACACATCAAGCAGGCTTTTCTTTGCTAGGTTCTGTTCTTCTGCTGCAATATCCCCCATAAATGTTATTAAGCATTATTATTCTTATTTAATTATTTACATTATCTAGATAGATAACACTAAACATGAAAATAAAACAGATAACAAAATGAAGACAAAATAACATTTATTTTCCTCTGTAATGAAATTTAATGAAAATATACAGTATTTTGTATAAAAACAGCAAACAAGATATTCAGTGGCGGCGTCAGAGTTCAAAATCTGGGGTGGTCCAAAATTTTGAGGGAGGGGGAAAGTGAGGGGAAAGGTAAAATTTCAGGCGGGAGGGGGGAAACATCATATTTTTAGATGTCGCTAAAAATATGCTGAATGTAATCCAGGGGGCGAAATCCTCGAAAAATAGGACAATATAGGGGTTTCATATTGGATAAATACCATACATATTTGTTTCACGTTTAAATACATTCTGTGATACTGTTGTATTTAAATAGTAAATCATGTTTAACATTTGGGTTTGCTATGATTAAATGGACTGGCAAAATAAGTTGGTGCTAATGTCATCCTTAGAAGGTTAAGTGTAAGCAAGAAATGAAACCAGACTACAAGACTGATTGTTTCATTTGTATAAATTACAGTACTTCAACAATTTGGTATTAAACATTAATGTTAATCACAACCGATCTACATTTTTTCTTGTGAATGTTTCTTATGAAACAATCTGTGTCAATACAAAACTTAAGTCCTTTGTACACACCATCAAATTGTATTTGACCTATGACATGCCAAAATATAGTCATGACATGACCACGTATAAATTTTTTATTTTCATCACATCCAACAGCAAGTACACTTGCCACTTACAGGATGAGAATAATGCTTTATAAACCAAGGCTCTTTATGAAACTTATGTAGTGGAGTAGATTTTAGTCATGAGAAAATATCCTACTGTGACAGGAATTGAACCCAGACCCTGGGATCAGAAGGCAAGCATCTTAACCACTGAGCTATTCAACATAACTATATTAATGGGCATACAACAGTTTTTTTTTTTCTCAAAGATATTTGAGTATGGACAAAGCAACTGAAACCAAAGATAATAAATAGCAAAAGATAGAGCAATTCGCGATACAATGGAACGCTCCATGAGAGCGTACATGAAGAGCAATTTTCCTCCATCCGAGCGGCGGCGCTATATCTTTGATTGGTTTAGAGCCGTTTGGATTAGTTGGATAACTCTCTGGTTCGTTTGTTTTCATTAGTTTCTCCACTCCATGAAATAATTTTCCACCATTCTAGAAACGACGGACGTTGAATCAAAGTTAATGCAAACTATGTGAAGACCTCATTCTTTTGCTATTTATGTTCTGTGCTGAAACTAAATAATTAGCATATAATACAAAGGATTTGATTTGATTTTACTTTATTCGGCTTTATACATACAAAATTACAACATACATTTTAAAATTTCACAGTAAAATCCAGAGTCCATAAAAAATTGACAAAACACACATAAGAAAGACTACAAGCATCAAAGCCAAGTATAACCCATGAAGTCTATGAATGACGTATTTCCAATAGAGTCCTTTGAACTCTAAATGTTAAGGATAGATTATCAGATTATTCATTCAGGCAAAAGATAAAATATACAAAATATAATAAAATAAAAAAAAAACATAACATTAACAAGTACATTAAATAGGCCATAGTCATTCGCTGCCAGGAAAGCACAACAGCCTAAACCACTGTCCCAAATAGATGTGTACTGTATCTCCAACTAATGACTACCTGTACTAAGATAATACAAATAATATAAATGACATAGATAAACGAAAGTGACAAAAGCATTACATTGTAATATTAAGCCTAAGATATATCCATATTGATGCTAGCAATAATTGAAATATTATATTAGTTCATGCTGAAATCTCATAAGTGGATGTAGTATAAAGTAAACTAATGTTGTTACATTGTTAGAAACTACCTCTTTGATAAAGCAAGCTGTGTTAATGCTATTTTTTAGGAAGTACAAGTAAATATTCAAATTTGTATGTTTCTTGTTAACAAAGGTGGCAGAAATGCTATCTTTAAAAGTATTATAATAAAATTGTATTTTTCTTGTTAAAGAAGGCACGGGCAAGTCAAGCTGCGTCAATGCATCTTCTGAACATGTAATTGATGAAGTTTTACAGAAATGGCGTGTAGACAAATTATATTATAATTACATTTAGGCTACATGCATTTGTGAATAAAGGATATGAGAAAAACGAATGGTGTTAAAGTCATCCTTAGGAAGACAAGCAGTAAAACTGTGCAAAACGTATTTGTTTCTTGTGAAAAAAGTAGCTGGTAACAGAAGTTAAAATACCTGTACCATGGAAGAAAAAACAAGGTTTCATTTTTAAAATCTATTGTATTCCAATATTCTGGTTATACAGTATTTTAGAAAGTATATGAAATTATTCACCAAAACGAGCTTTTAGAAGTAAAACAATAAAAAAAAGAGATTTGCTACCAAAGGCGACCCAAGGCTGAATATGTGGAGGTGGATTATTAATTGACAACACCCCATTTAACATTTTCCAAAACTGGCCATATACTTCTGACATAGTTTTCCTACACATAGGCGAAAATTATATAGGACAAAAAATACGTCAGAAACCACTATCTTGCCCCTGGCTCCAGTGGTAGCGGACTTGATTGATCAAGGCGATGGTGACGATACAGCAACTAGTCGACACTCTAACCATGTGTGATTCCCTCCCCTTGAAGCCTGTGACTAACAAAGGGCTTTTGGTTCCAGAAGAATCGTGAGGTGCTGCCAATTATTAGAGAATGGATTGCTTTAGGTTTCATTGTGTATTCTGATATGTGGAGAGCAAACAATCAAACTGCACCGATTCCAGGACAAAACTACCAACTTGGTACTGTAAACCGTACACGACACTTCGTTGACCCAAAGACTGGAGTAACAATTAATTATGCAGAGGCCATGTTGTCGCATGCAAAAGCTAAAATCAAGTCAATGATTACATGGCAGAGTTCATGTTGTTATGTGTATCACCATTTTATAGCTTTTGGCACCAAATTGCATCAGAGTTGTATATCGGTCATTTGACACTTTCAAAGTCCCTGAACTAATATAGACATTATTATTGTTATATGTTAAAGCTACCAAATATTAACATACACCTACATTATTATTATTATTATTATTATATTATGAACAATGGAAAAATCAATAGTTTAATTAGTATTGGTTCTTGTAAAGGAAGGATAAAGCAAAACAAATTGTGTCAATAGCATTCTAATGAAGTAAACAATAAGTAAACAATATACCTCTGC